TATACCCAGGCAGTTTCCTCTTCCTTTGTGATGAAGAAATTCCAGGACTGCAGTTGAGCAGATGTCCCATTCCTAGGCCAGTAGTTCTGTGTGGGCTGGGGTGGTAGGGTCAGTGTGTGGAATATAGAGGCGAGCCTGTCTTGGGACACGTGACTGGATCAGCCCCATCTGAGCCACATGCACTTTTGAGTGGGTGAGGGTGGTTCCCTAGGAAAAAGCCTAGAGACTGTTGTCAGAAGGAAAAACAGGTACTGAGTGGACAGAACCAAGCAAGTCCAGTATACCTGGGCAGTGCCGATTCTCACACTGCTCTCTGGCGAACAGATGTTCACTTTAAAAAAAACCCCACAATCTCAAGGTCCTGGTTGCTCACAGGCAAGAGGGGAAGAAAAAAACAGTACAGGGCAGAGTGGGGCATGTCTGGACAGGCACAGAGGAGGCACCCGCAGGGGAGGCTGAGATGCCTCCCTGGGGAGTCTGGGCTGGGCACTCACAGCGTGGGGTGAGGGGGTTGGGAGAGCTGGAGTGGGGCTCTTTGATGAAAACTGATGATTCCCGGCCTTGTGAAGCCTGGGATGTGGGAGATGAGGTCGGAAAGCTGAAGGCTGCTGAACAGGAGAATGGCAGGATCCGATGTGTGGTATAGGCACCCCTGGGGGCAACTGTACAAGACGGACTGAAGGGAGGCCGGGTGGCAGCTTTGCCAGAATCCAGGAGAGAAGGATGTAGCCAGCACCAGCATGACCCCCCCACAGCTGGATGTCCAGGCCATCCACTGGGACGTCATCAGGTCCATTGACTGTCACATAGACAGGTGTGTCTTCAATGTCCTCAACTCGATTGTCAGCTCCACCAGGATTAGGATCCTGAGCACCGGCTTTCCTGGATTGAATCTTCTGCCGATCTTATCTTTTCTCTACTTTCCAACTTTATTTGTCATTTATGTTTTTTGTTCTACTTTTCACATCTTTTAAATTTTTCTTTCAAACTTTCTAATATCTAATACAATTAGCCCCAAGTAAAACTAAGGGAAACAAGCAAAAACAAGAAAGGAGGTGTACTCTTAGTCATTGATGTGCTTCAGCTGTGAGCTGGAGTGTTTTGCTGTGGTTTTAGGTTTTTGATTTTTTTTTTAGAGAAAGAAGGTCTCGCTCTGTTGCCCAGGCTAGTGAGCAATACAGCGATCATAACTTACTGCAACCTTGAACTCTGGGGCTTGAGGTCCTTCCACCTTGGCCTCCCAAAGTGCTGGGATGACAGGTGTGAACCACCGTGCCTGGCCTTGTGTGTAGTATTCTCAAGCGATGTGTAGTATTTTGACAAAAGTACATTTTAAAAAGAGTTAATATCAAAAAAACATTTCTGTGGCTTAAGGACCACTGCTTAGGGTGTTCCTGGGTACCAAAACGAGAGACAGAACTTTCTGTTCCCTTTCTGGCTTTTTGTACTTTTTAGTTCCACCCTCCTCCTGAAAAACATGTGATTATTTTCATTATCATTGTCATCACCATCAGCACCATTAACGACTTGTTGGAAATTTAAAGCAGAAGTGCTTCTGAGGTTGTGGGGCTGGAGAGGGCATCAGAGACAGCAAATATTACTGCCTTCTGTCTCAAAAAAGAAAGAAAAAAAGAAACATGGGCTGGCAATGAGCTCATCTGTACCTTTAGAATTGTTTTTTGTTTTGTTTTGTTTTTTTGAGATGGAATCTTGCTCTGTTGCCCAGGCTGGAGTACAATGGCACAATCTCAGCTCCCTGCAACCTCTGCCTCCTGGCTTCAGGCAGTTCTGCCTCAGCTTCCTGAGTAGCTGGGACTACAGGCATCCGCCACCACACCGGCTAATTTTTGTATTTTTAGTAAGAGACCGGGTTTTGCCTTGTTGGCCAGGCTGGTCTGGATCTCCTGACCTCAAGTGATCTGCCCTTCTTGGCCTCCCAAAGTGCTGGGATTACAGGCATGAGCCACTACACCCAGCTTAGAACTTGATACAACATCTTTGTGTTACCTTTTCCAAAAATTAAACATATAATAAATATGTGCCCCCCATAAAGAGAAAACTTTAGAGGGGAAGGAGATAGGCCTTTCAGGATGGGAAAGTTCAGTGGACAAAGGCTTAGGAGTGCCACATGCACCACAGAACCTGCAGGGAGAGTCTGCTTCTTGGATTTATATATAAATTATTATTTTCATCATCATTATCACCATCATCACCATTAATGACTTGTTGGAAGATTTTTTGTTTGTTTGTTTGGTTATTTTTTTTGAGATGGAGTCTTGTTCTGTCACCCAGGCTGGAGTGCAGTGGCACAATCTCTGCTCACTGTAACCTCTGCCTCCAGATTCAAGCAATTCTCCTGTCTCAGCCTCCTGAGGAGCTGGGACTACAGGTGCCTACCACCACACCTGGCTAATTTTTGTGTTTTTTTTTTTTTTTTTTTTTTTGAGACAGAGTTTCGCTCTTGTTGCCCAGACTGGAGTGCAATGGCACAATCTCGGCTCACCGCAACCTCTGCCTCCTGGGTTCAAGCAATTCTCCTGCCTCAGCCTCCCGAGTAGCTGGGATTACAGGCACGCACCATCATGCCCAGCTAATTTTTGTATTTTTAGTAGAGACGGGGTTTCACCTTGTTGACCAGGATGGTCTCCATCTCTTGACCTCCTGATCCACCCGCCTCGGCCTCCCAAAGTGCTGGGATTATAGGCATGAGCCACCGCGCCCGGCCAATTTTTGTGTTTTTAATAGAGACAGGGTTTCACCATATTGGTCAAGCTGGTCTCGAACTCCTGACCTTAGGTGATCCACCTGCCTTAGCCTCCCAAAGTGCTGGGATTACAGGCATGAACTATCCTATGCTCAGCCTATTTATTTATTTATTTATTATTATTATTATTTTTTGAGACAGGGTCTCACACTATTGCCCAGGCTGTAGTACAGTGGCACAATCTCTGCTTACTGCAGCCTCTGCCTCCCAGGCTCAAGCAATCCTCCCACCTCAGCCTCCTGAGTACCTGGGACTACAGTTAGACACCACTGCACCGGGCTAATTTTTGTGTTTTTAGTAGAGATCGTGTTTGGCCATGATTCCCAGGCTGGTTTGGAGCTCCTGGGCTCAAGTAATTTGCCTGCCTAAGCCTCCCAAAGTGCCGTGATAACAGGTATGAACTACTGCACCCAGCTGGCTCTTGGATTTAAGCCCCTGCCCTGCCTCTTTCTCACTGGGTATTCATATATCTGAGCCCCGCTGCTTCAATTAAAACGGACAGGGATGGTCATCGCTGCCTCCTAGGGACTTGGGATGATAACATTTAATCATGAAGACAAGAGTACCTCTCCTGACTGGTTCTCCCTAATGTTGAACCCTTGGCCCAAATGGCCACTGTGCTGAACATAAGGCTTCTATCAGAAAGCTCCCAGCTAGGAACTGGTCTTCTGGAGACTCTGTGGCATAGGATGGTTCAACCACCTTCCTAGTTCTTGAGTTTCAATGGTAGGTTATCACAGTAGTTCCTACAGTGCATGAGTCCCTTAAGAAGACCCCCAGCTTTCCTGGAACACAGGTAATAAACACCTTGGCTTGAGGTCAAGATCCTACCCAGGCAAGGGCTGGGCTGGCAGGGCAACCGTGTTTGGCACAGAGCAGCAGGGTCCTGCACTCTGCAGGGAGCAATCACAGGTGGGAGAGGCCCACAGCCTGGGATCAGAGGTGCCAGGAGCTTAGGAACAGGAGCCCTGGGGTCCCAGCTTTCCCATTGTGTCTGCAAACCTTGAGTCCTTCCCCTGAAAAATGACATCATCATGCCCACCTCAGGGCTCATTGAGTAAATCAACCAGTGGACTTGAAGCACCTAGCACTTGTGATCATCAAAGTTAGCAAATATGAGTTCCCTTCTCCTCCGGCGCCGCATTGCCAGGGAGCCAACCATCATCAGCCCACTGGCACTAGAGGATCACTGATCATGAGCAGAGCAGATGAGTGGCTACTCTCCTCGTCTTCCAGGTTTTCCCAGAGTGGGCATGGGATCTGGAGTTGGCTAGTGACAGAGCTGTTGGGCATCCTCCACCCACCCCTGTTGCTTCCTGATGAGGGGAAGAGGCAGAGATGGGATCTGCTCTCGTTAGACCCTGGCTTATCTCAGTGGTGACCTGGACAGGGGAGGGGAAGGCAGGGAGCAAAGGATGCAGGAGCAAGGAGGAAACTTCCAGACCCCTCACTTCCAAAGTCACCTAGCCTTGAGATTATTGCAGAAGCATCAGGTGCAAAGAGCAGAGCACTTTGGGACCTTGGAATGCGGGAGGCGGCTCCGTGTTCCTTCCACCCTGTGAGACGTGAGTGACATTCACTTTCTTTTTTTTTTTTTTTTGAGACGGAGTTTCACTCATGTTACCCAGGCTGGAGTGCAATGGCGCGATCTCGGCTCACCGCAACCTCCACCTCCTGGGTTCAGGCAATTCTCCTGCCTCAGCCTCCTGAGTAGCCGGGATTACAGGCACGCACCACCATGCCCAGCTAATTTTTTGTATTTTTAGTAGAGACGGGGTTTCACCATGTTGACCGGGATGGTCTTGATCTCTTGACCTCGTGATCCACCCGCCTCAGCCTCCCAAAGTGCTGGGATTACAGGCGTGACATTCTTAAGGTCCACCAAAGGGCTGGTGGTTGGAGGCCAGAGGATGGCCTGGGAGTTACTGAAATTGGAAATGGAGGTGGCCTGTGGGTGTCTCCTCTTGGGGGAGACTCCCCAGGGGGAGGGGTTCCTCCTTTCTAGATGTAGCTGAGCACAGGGACAATAACAGTGATGGACGCATGTGTGTAAGAAATGCTTCCCCAGGCCCTCTCTTCATAGATATTTGCAGGAGCATCTCTCACAATGGCTCTGAGAGGTTAAATGTTGCAAATCCCATTCTACAGAGACGGCAATTGAGCCTCAGAGAAGTTATGTCGCGTTTAGGGGTATGTTCCCCTGTAGAGTGTGACTGTCTCCCTCCTGCTTTACTAGGTGCTAAGGACCCTCCAAGCATCTCCCATGGAGTTGTGATCAGCATTGCAGCACTCCCAGCAGCCCTGGGCAGTGGTGAGTCCCCTCAGCTGGCCGGGACAGTACTCTGCTGTCACCTCTCTGCTTCTCTGGCTCCATCCTAGCTCCCCATCAACTGGTCTCCTTGCAAACCCTCAGGGGTCCAGGACACCCTCCGTCAGGAGTCCATGCTGCCTTCAGCACTTCACTCCCCACCAGTGATGTCAGCACTTGGTGTTCTTTGTCCGCTTTGTCTGTTCGCTCATTTTTTTTGTTTCTGAGACAGAGTCTCACTCTGTTTCCCAGGCTGGAATGCAGTGGTGCCATCTCAGCTCACTGCAACCTCCACCTCCAGGTTCAAGCGATTCTCATGCCTCAGCCTCCTGAGTAGCCAGGATTACAGGTATGTGCAACCACACCCAGCTAATTTTTATATTTTTAGTAGAGATGGGGTTTCTCCATATTGGTCAGGCTGATCTTGAACTTCTGACCTCAGGTGATCTGCCCACCTTGGCCTCCCAAAGTGCTGAGATTACAGGCATGAGCCCCCACACCCAGCCATACGTTTCTATTTTTTTTTTTTTTTTTTTGAGACAGAGTTTCACTCTTGTTACCCAGACTGGAGTGCAATGGCGCGATCTCGGCTCACCGCAACCTCCGCCTCCTGGGTTCAGGCAATTCTCTTGCCTCAGCCTCCTGAGAAGCTGGGATTACAGGCACGCGCCACCATGCCCAGCTAATTTTTTGTAGTTTTGGTAGAGATGGGGTTTCACCATGTTGACCAGGATGGTCTTGATCTCTTGACCTCGTGATCCACCCGCCTCGGCCTCCCAAAGTGCTAGGATTACAGGCGTGAGCCACCGCGCCCGGCCCCTATTTTTTTTTTTTTTTAATCATACAGTGTGGAATCACACACTGTAGCAAGTGCATGCCTCAGTTAGGGGCAGGACTACCTGTCCCTCCTGTCCATCCAGGATATTCAAACATGTTCCCATTTTCCAGTAATCCACCCAAATCCTGTGTTATGTGCTGGTACCATCCCCTTTTACAGATGGGTAAACTGAGTCACAGGGTGATCCAATATTTGGTTCTAGATCACAGGTTATGTATGTCAGTGTAGTGTGGAAAGTTAAAAAACTAAGGAGGCTGGGTGCCATGTCTTATGCCTGTAATTCCAGCACTTTGGGAGGCTGAGGTGGGCAGATCACCTGAGGTCAGGAGTTGGAGACCAGCAGCCTGACCAACATGAAGAAACCCCATCTCTACTAAAAATACAAAATTAGCTGGATGTGGTGGTGCACCCCTGTAATCCCAGCTACTTGGGAGGCTAAGGCAGGAGAATCACTTAAACCCAGGAGGCAGAGGTTGTGGGGAGCCGAGATCACGCCATTGCATTCCAGCCTGGGCAACAAGAGCAAAACTCCATCTCAACAACAGAGGGGAAAAAAAAAGGAAAAAGATCACAGGCTGCTGCGGAAGAGCCTCAGGGAAACGCACCACCACACCCAGCTAATTTTTGTATTTTTAGTAGAGATGGGGTTTCTCCACGTTGGTCAGACTGGTCTCGAACTCCTGACCTCATGATCCACCCACCTCGGCCTCCCAAAGTGCTGAGATTACAGAAGTGAGCCCCTGTACCCGGCCATACCTGTCTATGGTGCCATGACATCCACCAGAGCGCCCATCAGCTCAACCTAAAAGAGTTTCCTCACAGGAATTCTTAAGCAAAAGACAGGAATTCTGTTTGAAATATATTTCCCCTGCCGGGCGCGGTGGCTCAAGCCTGTAATCCCAGCACTTAGGGAGGCTGAGGCGGGTGGATCACGAGGTCAAGAGATCGAGACCATCCTGGTCAACATGGTGAAACCCCGTCTCCACTAAAAATACAAAACATTAGCTGGGCATGGTGGCGCGTGCCTGTAATCCCAGCTACTCAGGAGGCTGAGGCAGGAGAATTGCCTGAACCCAGGAGGCGGAGGTTGCGTTGAGCCGAGATGGAGCCATTGCACTCCAGCCTGGGTAACAAGAGTGAAACTCCGTCTCAAAAAAAAAAAAAAAAAGAAAAAAGAAATGTATTTCCCTCTCCAGATAGACAGTGGTAGTGTGGGTAGATAACTAAGAAGGTAGGACTCATATACAAACAGATTTCCCACCGCATTCTGCATTTGTACTTTTGCTCTCAGCTAAACTGGATCCTGAGTTATGTCTTAAGGCCACATATCCGGGAGAGCGCCCCACTGAGACCATCCTGTTCTTGGGAGGCTGAGGTCTGGTGGTTGAATCTGCTCCCTGCAGGCACTGGGCAGTAGCTGGGGCGCGGGAAGGGTGTGCAGGCTGTAGCACCTAACCGCTGCGCTCTCCTCCCTAAGGGCCCCGGCAGTCAGCATGTGGCTGCCGCGCGTTTCCAGCACAGCAGTGACCGCACTCCTCCTGGCGCAGACCTTCCTCCTCCTCTTTCTGATCTCCCGGCCAGGGCCCTCAACCCGAGCGTGCGGTGAGGAGCGCGTGCACGTGCTGGTGCTGTCTTCGTGGCGTTCGGGTTCGTCCTTTGTCGGCCAGCTCTTCAGCCAGCACCCTGACGTCTTCTACCTGATGGAGCCTGCATGGCACGTGTGGACCACCCTGTCACAGGGCAGCGCCGCAACGCTGCACATGGCCGTGCGCGACCTGGTGCGCTCCGTCTTCCTGTGTGACATGGATGTGTTTGATGCCTATCTGCCTTGGCGACGCAACCTGTCCGACCTCTTCCAGTGGGCCGTGAGCCGCGCATTGTGCTCGCCACCCGCCTGTAGCGCCTTCCCCCGAGGCGCCATCAGCAGTGAGGCCGTGTGCAAGCCGCTGTGCGCGCGGAGGCCCTTCAGCCTGGCCCAGGAGGCCTGCCGCTCCTACAGCCACGTGGTGCTCAAGGAGGTGCGCTTCTTCAACCTGCAGGTGCTCTACCCGCTGCTCAGTGACCCGGCGCTCAACCTGCGCATTGTGCACCTGGTGCGCGACCCGCGGGCTGTGCTGCGCTCCCGGGAGGCGGCGGCCAAGGCTCTGGCGCGCGACAACGGCATCGTGCTGGGCACCAATGGCACGTGGGTGGAGGCCGACCCTGGCCTGCGGGTGGTGCGTGAGGTGTGCCGTAGCCAAGTCCGCATCGCTGAAGCCGCCACACTCAAGCCGCCACCCTTCCTGCGTGGCCGCTACCGCCTGGTGCGCTTCGAAGACCTGGCGCGGGAGCCACTGGCAGAGATCCGGGCACTCTACGCCTTCACCGGCCTGAGTCTCACGCCACAGCTTGAGGCCTGGATCCACAACATCACCCATGGATCTGGACCTGGTGCGCTTCGCGAAGCCTTCAAGACTTCGTCCAGGAATGCGCTCAATGTCTCCCAGGCCTGGCGCCGCACGCTGCCCTTCGCCAAGATCCGCCGCGTGCAGGAACTGTGCACTGGTGCTCTGCAGCTGCTGGGCTACCGGCCCGTGTACTCTGAGGATGAGCAGCGCGACCTCGACCTGGATCTGGTGCTGCCACGAGGCCTGAACAGCTTCATCTGGGCGTCGTCCACTGCCTCGCACCCCCGGCATTAATGGAGGCCACAGTTGTAGAGGTCACCAGGCCTGGAGTGGGGAGTGCATTGTGCAGAGGTGGCTGGGGTGCACGGAGAAGCAGGTCCCTATATTGACCAAGGAGCTCGTGATCCCCCCATGAAGTAGGCAAGGACTGCCTGTTTCTTTCCACATTCTCGGTTTTCCTTTGAGTCCTCTGGAGCTGCCTTTTCATCAGGTGCACTCTTCGTGGACAGCAACTCTTGCCCCTACCTCTTCTGGGCACAGAGAGTGCATTCAGATGACTTAGCTCCCACTCAAGGGCTTTCTTCCTCTTTAACTTTCTCCTTCTGGGGACACATCCTGCAGCAGCTGAGGGGGAGCCCTCGCACTGGCTGGGAGTGGAGAGGCACGGTGGTGATATGGCTGCGACAGTCTGTACATCACATCCACAGGCACACATGCAAGCTTGGCCAAACTCAGAAGTGAAAGGACTTGTCCAAAATCACATGGTTAGAAGGAGGATGAAGGGAGGAGAGAGCTTTTTCTCTGGGGCTCCAGTGGAGAGGAGAGAACCTGCCTCCTGGGTGAGAAGGGTCAGATTTTCCCATTTTAATTGCTTTAGGGAAGAGCAGGCAGAGTCATGGCCAGGGACACAGCTGAGCGATAGAGGAGGCTGTGAATGCCGAGACCAGAGCTTGTCATACTGGACAAGCCTGGAGGGAGGCAGTAAGTGGGAAAGGTGAGAAGGGGCTGGGGAGGCCTGGGCAGCAAGCCAGGCATAGGGCCTGGCAGAGCAAGAGAGGGGCAGCAGGATCAGTGCCTGGAAGGCAGGGGCGGCCAGTCGGTCATGGGGAGTGGAACTCATCAGGCTTGCTGAGAGGTTGGAAGAGAAATGGCTCTGGGCTGGATCTGTCTTCCATTGGTTCTTCTGGGCCAGGCCTTGGAGGAGAGCAGAGGAAGATCCCTGCCTGCGAGCCACATCACCTAGCTCTGGCGGCAAAGGGGCTTAGTAAAGGGATGCTGGATGTGTAAAGGGCTTAGTCCCGAGCTCAGGAAATGAGAGCTCAAAAAAGCAAAAAAACAAAAAAACCCACCATTGTTTCAGGAGTGAGTTGTCTATCCTGAGAGTGGTGCCTTTTAAATGCAGGAGTTCATTCTCTGTCTTTCTCTTGCCCTCACTTTGCCCTTCCACCATATGATGCCTTGCACCTTGCTAGGACACAGCAAGAAGGTTCTTGCTAGATGCTGGCTCCTTGATCTTGGGCTTCCCAGCCTCCAGAACTGTAAGCCAATATACTTGTATTTATTATAAATGACCCATGCTGGGTTTGGTGGCTCACGCGTGTGATCTCAGTACTTTATAAGACTGAGAATACATTCAAGGATCACTTGAAATCAGGCATTCAAGACCAGCCTGGGCAACATAGTGAGACCCCATCTCTACAAAGTTAAATTAGTGGGAAATGGTGTCATGCACCTGTAGTCGTAGCTACTTGGGAGGCTAAGGTGGTAGGATTGCTTGAGCCCAGGAGGTTGAGGCTACAGTGAACCATGATCATGCTGGTGCACTCCAGCCTGGGTGACAGAGCAAGACCCCATTTCTAAATGACCCCATCTGTGGTATTCTGTTACAGCAAAATGGATTGAGAGACTCTTTAATGAAAGACAGATTCACAGAGAAAAACAGTTTTTTGTTTGCTTTTGGTTTTTTTTGAGCAGTCTTTCTTTTGTCCCCCAGGCTGGAGTGCAGTGGCACGATCTTGGCATGCTGCAACCTCCACCTCCCAGGTTAAAGCAACTCTCCTGCCCCAGCCTCCAGAATAGCTGGGATTACAGGTGTGCACCACCATGCACCCGCTAATATTTTTGTATTTTTAGTACAGACAGGGTTTTACCATGTCGATCAGGCTGGTCTGGAACCCCTGTCCTCAGATGATCCACCTGACTCAGCCTCCCAAAGTACTGGGATTACAAGTATGAGCCACTGGGCACGGCGGAGGAAAACTGTTGATTTATTTTGAGATGGAGTTTTGCTCTTTCGCTCAGGCTGGAGGGAAGTGGTGCGGTCTCAGCTCACTGCAAACTCTGCCTCCCAGTTCAAGTGATCTCCTGCCTCAGCCTCCCCAGTAGCTGGGACTATAGACGCCCTCCACCACAGCCGGCTAATTTTTGTATTTTTTCTAGAGACGGGGTTTCACCATGTTGGCCAGGCTGGTCTTGAACTCCTGACCTCAGGTGATCCACCCACCTTGGCCTCCCAAAGTGCTGGGATTACAGGCATGAGCCACCATGCCCTGTGAAAAAGTTTATTAAAACAGACAGCTGACATCACTCAGGATAAGACTCAACACAGTTATGCCTTGGAACACAGTCTTACACAGCATTAAAAAAAAAAAGACAGTACATTTGTAGAGAAATGACTGGACCAAGGATAACAGTTTTAGGCTTCCAAGGGTGGGAAACTATAGGATGGTAAATATCCGAGAGGAAGCTATTGCAGCAGGATTTGTCTGCAGTGCCTCTGGAACTGCCTCTGGCGGGGTTAAGAGTTGTCTCCAGGCAAGGAGAATTTATACCGTGCCTTTAGGCAGAAGAAGGGAGGGAAACCTGACCTTTTTCTGCACCTTCTGCTTGTTAACTGCCTTCAGCTGAAAATCATTTGTATGTGAAAGAGGCATAATCTGGATCGCCCCTCTGCTTTCTTCCACCTAAAGAAACTGCATGCTGCTCCTTTGCTTCAGACCTCTTCCTCCACCACAGAGAAAGCCCAGGCCAGCCTGCCGGACAAGCAGGGACCATGAGAAGGAGAGTTCAGGTGTCCAAAGCCTAGACCAGCTAGCCCCTCACCAGCCCCAGCTGATCAGCACGTGGCCACTTCTGTTACCTTCTACTGGCCAAAGTGAGTCCAGGGCTCACCCAGATTCAGAGGCTGAGAAACAGTATGCCGCTTGGGAGAAGTAGCTATAGAGACACATGAACAAGATCAGCTGAGCCCAGCACTGCGGGCCAAGTCAAAGACTTTAGGAGCAATAAAAGTGCTTATTATGTTTCAATCATTTGAGTGTTGGGGTGGTTTGTTACGTAGCATTGCCTGACCGATACAGTTGAAAACAGAGGGCTCCGGGCACCTGTAGCTTCCAACTTTCCATCAGGGTCCAGTCTGTGCCTCCCTGCTGGTAGGGCTGGAATTAGTCTCTTCTTACCTGTAGGCCCTGTGATGCAGCTGGAAGTGTCTAGGCCCAGCAGTCACCCACAATTAGGGGCAGGCATGCTTGTTGCCTCTGCTGTGGGTGTGAGAGCTCAGGAGAGGGGCAATCGAAGCCCGAGATGGGCTGATGAGGGCCTGGAATAGGTCAGAGACTCACCGAGATCACACCACTGCACTCCAGCTTGGGCAACAGAGTGAGACTCTGTCTCAAACAAACAGAAAATAAAACCAGAGCTAAAGTCTTGATGAAATGGAAAGGATTGGGCAACTATATATTTTTCCAAGATGGCAATTCATTCCAGCCAATCGAGCATTTTCTCTCTAGTGGGTAAGACCAGAAAACCTGGCCTGTTCTGCAAATCTTGTGTGATTCTGATCCCAGTCCTCAAGAACTCCACTCATTCATTCAACACACATTATGGGTTGAGCACCAACCAGGCACTGGGCTGTTGTAGGAGCTGGAGATAGAGCAAGGACCAAGACAGACAAAAAGCAAAAACCCCTGCCCTAGGCTGGGCATAGTGGCTCACGCCTATAATCCCAGCACTTTGGGAGGCTGAGGCAGGTGGATCATGTGAGGTCTGGAGTTCAAGACCCTGGGCAACATGGTGAAACCCCATCTCTACTAAAAATACAAAAGTTGGCTGGGTGTGGTGCTGCACACCTGTAATCCCAGCTACTCAGGAAGCTGAGGCAAGAGAATTGCTTGAAACTGGGAGGCGGTGGTTGCAGTGAGCTGAGATGGCACCACTGCACTCCAGCCTGGGCAACAGAGCAATACTCCATCTCACACACAAAAAAACCCTGCCCTTCGGGAACTTGCATTCTGATGGTGGGGCGAGAGCTAATGAATGATGAGTGTCATAAATAACTACATTATTTTGCATATTAGAGAGTGCCAAGGATTAAGGTGAAGAAGGTTCCGGGGATTAGGAATGTATGTGGGTGGGGGTGTGAGTTGTAATTTTTTTTTTTTTTTTTTTTTAAGACAGAGTCTTGTTCCGTCGCCAGGCTGGAGTGCAGTGGCATGATCATGGCTCACTGCAGTCTCGGCCTCCTGGGTTCAAGCAATTTTCCTGCCTCAGCCTCCAGAGTAGCTGGGACCACAGGCGCGCACCACCACACCCAGCTAATTTTTGTATTTTTAGTAGAGACGGAGTTTCACCATGTTGGCTAGGATGGTCTCAATCTCCTGACCTCATGATCCGCCTGCCTCGGCCTCCCAAAGTGCTGGGATTACAGGCTTGAGCCACTGCGTGGTGTGAGTTATAATTTTTAATGGGGTGATCAGGGTAGGTCGCAGTGAGAAAGTGACATTTGAGTGAAGTTTTAAAGGAGGCGAGAGAGTATCTCAGGGGCAATCATGGGTAGCCTGTCAGGGAAGAGGAAAGAGTTAGTTAACACAGAAGCCCTACGGATGGGAGGCATCTGGCTTGGAAGAGCAGCAAGGGGCCAGGAGGTCTGATGTGATGGCCCCAAGACGGAGTGCCAGGAGATGAGGTCAGCAGATATGGAGAGGAGTCAGGTCACAGAGGGCCTTGGAGGCCTTCAGGAGGACCTTGGCTTTACTTGGTGTTAAATGGAGGGCGTCCAAGGCCACTCTTGTCCTATTATGTCCCATGGGTAAATAAGTAAAGAGATATAAATATATACATGTGTAATATGTCAGGTACCAAAAATAATAGGACAAGTACCCAGTTAAATAAATATTTTGTTATAATTTCACTGCATGTGTTAATATCCTGAGTAAGTATAGTGTTACTTTCGCAAGTATCTGAGTTTGGTTTAACTGAATCACACTGTGGTCTTCTGCAACTTAGGTCTCCCCTTCAAGTTTGTGGAATTTTTTTTTTTTTTTGGGAGTTGGAGTCTTACTCTGTCACCAGGTTGGAGTGCAGTGGCGAGATCTCCACTCACGGCAACCTCCGCCTCCTAGGCTCAAGCAATTCTCCTGCTTGAACCTAGCTAGCTTGAACCTCCTAGCTTGAACCTACCTCCTGAGTAGCTACGATTATAGGTGTGTGTTACCATGCCTGGCTGATTTTTGTATTTTTAGTAGAGACGGGGTTTCACCACGTTGGCCAGGCTGGTCTTGAATTCCTGACCTTGTGATCCCCCCGCCTCAGCCTCCCACAGTGCTGGAATTACAGGAGTGAGCCACTGTACCCAGCTGGTTTTTTTGTTTGTTTGTTTGACACAGAGTGTTGCTCTGTTACCCAGGCTGCAGTGCAGTGGTGCGATCTTGGCTCACTGCAATCTTGAACCTCCTGGGTTCAAGTGATCCTTGTGCCTCAGCCTCCCAAGTAGTTGAGATTACAGGTGTGCACCACCACGCCCAGATAACTTTTTGTATTTTTAGTAGAGACCGGGTTTCACCATGTTGGCCAGGCTGGTCTCGAACTCCTGAGCTCAATGATCCACCCACCTCAGCCTCCCACAGTGGTAGGATCACAGGTGTGACCCCCTCCGCCTGGCCTCTCCCTCAATTTTGTATTTCTGGGATTCATCATGTTGCTCTTCAGTGTTACATCATTTATTTTCACTACTTTAAAGGAGTTTATTGGAAATCATACCACAGTTTTATCTATCCTCCCAAAGTGCTGGGATTACACGTGTGAGCCACTGCACCCAGCCAAAATACTGGCTTCCTTCTTAACCTGGTCATTAAAATGTTGAACCATTTTGTCTACAGCTTGAAGGCAATTCCCTTACTCTTCCTGAGACACCCTTTCTGTTTTATTCTGGACAGATGGCTGCTAGGACTGTTGCACAGAAGTCAGTCTAACACTCCTGGTTAAGTCCACCATTTCTTGCATTGCACATGTTTCTCTCTCTTGGTTAATGCTCTTTAACTTTGCTGGACCCAATCCT